CCTTACAGCTTCCACCAGCTCCCAACATCCTCTCTCAGCTCCCAACAGCCTCCTTCTTCTTCTCCAGGTCTGCCTATTATGCTGCTGGCAACAATCCCAGGTGGGCCTCCCACACCCAGCACCATGCTTACTCAGTTCAGCTGGGGGTTAAAAGTTGACCACCAATTGTCAATCCACTACATCAACCCAACTGTCATTTAAGTAAAAGACAGCAGAAAAAATTCTGACTGTGAGCAGCGAATCCACTTAGTACAGGACTCAGTCTTATACAATGTGGGCAGCATGGTTATAAAATAGAAAATGAATGTTATAAACTCAACAATATGCAAAAGACATTACTAAAAATGTAGAAATGGAAGACAGCTACAAACAAGAGCCAGACATGGTGGTGTACACCTGTAATGCCAGCACTTGGGAGGCTGAGGCAGGAGGATCACCCATCTTTGAGGCCACCTTGGGCTTCATAGTAAGTTTAATTCCAGCCTAAGCTACACAGTGAGAGACCCTGTCTCAAGAAAAAAAAAAAAAGTGTGTACTCTGATTTCCTTGTCAATGGGTCAGAATGATAACGTTCAACCTGAAAATTTAAATTACATGGTCTAATTATTCAGAAATTTATGGATAAACACTAACATAAATAAGATATAGTCTAATATCTGATGAAGAGGCACTTAAAACAGAAGGGAATAGAACAATCACTTTACAAAGCAGTATACATACTACATACTGCTAAGGGTATAAAAGTAACCAATTGTACAAAAACAAAACCATTTCAAGTGACCAGAGGAAACATAATATAAAATAAACAATTCAAAGGACATAAAAATATTTTAAATGTTGGGGAGAGGACATTATATATCCTAATATTCACGTAACATGGACTCTGACCCAGGCACTGTTCTAGGCAGGGCCACACGCTAAAGCATCCCAGCTGAGAGCGCTGACTTTCTCTGAGATACCAGTGCAAACGGCTTTCAGTGTTGGAGAAGCATGCTTTCACCAGAACAAGCAGTTCAAGTGTCAATGTTGTTATTATCACAAACCCACCTGCTAGCATCTGATGATAGCCAAGAGAAGGAGCAGGATACGAACACTAAGCAACAAGTGGTGAGGGGTTTCTTTACCCCCACAACCTGCCCTGAGAGGCCCAGACCCACGTCAAAACATAGCCTGCACTACATCTTTTAGGTTGGAGAAGGCTGGGGAAGGTATTGGACTTGTCTTATTTTTAGAGAAAAGAAGAAAATATATTTCTTTCCTTAGAAAAATATAAAAGTATAGTTTTCTGTGCAAGAGTTGAAAGTTCAAAGATTTAAAAGTCAACCTGAGGCCCAGAAGGCAGGCAGTCAGCGCCTGGGAAGCCGCACAGTGGCACACACTGGCGCCCACACCAGCCACCACCACGTGGTCGAGAATTATCATGGCACAGAGAAGCAATGACCCGCCACGCACCGGCCTTGGAGACCCATGCAGGGCGGTGCATGAATCATCCCGACATGGAGAAACCCCTGGGAATACATGCTACACCACGAGTCGCTCTTGGCCCTGCTGCTGAGAACCAGAAAGGTCCAGAGTCAGCAGAGGAGCAGCTGCTGAACAA